CGGAGGACGCGGGGTCTTACGGCTGCATCGCTTCCAACGCCCACGGGCAACGGCAGTCCACCGTCCTCCTTCGAATTCAGGGTCTGTCGAAAGACCCGTGAAGGGATCTGGATTCCGCCTCACCCCTCGGAAGTCACCCGCCGATCGCGACTTCCACAGCCATCAGGATGGCGTGGTGGGGCTCCGAGGTCTCATAGATGTGGTCCGAGGGGTGAGGTGGAATCGGTCCACTTCTGAGTGCAGTCCCTCCTACCGACACGTATGCAAAAGTGGGATTTCTATCGAAAGATGGATCGATATTAATCCGCTCGTACTCTTCAGAGCCACCCGGTCGACCGACGGGCTTGAGGGCGATGGACGCGAGGAGCCGATCGGTGGTCATCACATGGGACGAATACCCGCCGTCGTCCGGCGTTCAGACGTTCGTCCTCAATCATAAGAAGACCACAGGTACCGGGGACTCTGCTCGAATCGGGTGTCGCGAATTCCAGCCGTGAAACGAGACGATTTTCGCATCTTCAGACGGTTGGGACGAAGGGAAGTTCGTGACGACGGAGGTGTCCTCGAACGAACTGGACTACGCCCTCTCTTCGCTGCAGCCGGCGACGTCGTACACGGTGAGGGCGTTTGCGAGGAATCATCTGGGACTCAGCCTGGCTTCGGAGGAGCTCGTCTTTCTCACGGAGGTATGCGTTTGCTGCGACGGTGGAGGAGCTCGAAACCGTTTTTTCGTTGGGGACTGGATCGTAGATGCAATTTAGGCGTTTTCCAGGGATCTGTAGGAATTTTTATTATTATTAAGGCAAATGACTGCTCTCCTCCCGCTCGAGAGAATACTCAGTAAAAGATGACGGGGAACTCCTGAAATTCCCCCTACTGTGCTCACCACAGCGAGGAAGAATCAGAAACAAAACTCTCTAATACAGGAGGAAGGTCCGACCGGGGAGGTGAGAGACCTGAAGGCCGAAGTCCTGGGACCCAGAAGCGCCCTCATCACCTGGTCGCCGCCCGATCCCCAAACCTGGAACTCCATCCGCCTCAACTACCGACTCGGCATCAAGTAAGCCAACCTCCACTCTCATCCACCTTCCTCATCTCTAACCTCCTCCACTCTCATCCAGCATCTCCTCTAACCTCCTCCTTCTCCAGGTCCCACCACGGAGACCAGTACAACTCGACCGAGGTTCAGCCCAAGGACGAGGGGAAGCCTCAGGAGACGCTGAGAGGCCTCAGGCCTTTCACCAAGTATTTCGTCACCGTTCGGGCTTTCAACGGCCGGGGGGTGGGGCCTCTCCCTCTGCCTCTCCACTTCACCACCCTCGAAGACGGTAGAGTCCCCCTTTATTTTTTATTTATATAAAGAATCGTGATAATGAATTTCCTGATAATTTAAAGACCAAATTGCGATTACTGATGAAATCTTCCCAAAACGAAACGAAAAAATTCGAATCAACCATTTCGAATTTGTTGGAGCCAAACTGAATTTTATTTTGTTAAGTTTCCTCGAGTCACCACAAAGCCCAATTTCACCTTAACGTTTGGTCAGGAACATCAGGCAAAAAAATAATAATAATTCGAACAGAAATATCAAAATCGCTCGAAACCAATCAGCCACTCGAATTCCGAATTCCCCCGAAGCTTCGAATAAATCCCACGACTCGAAGTGAATTTTTTACAGTGCCAGGAGAGCCTCCCCAGGCGTTGACCTGCAAGACTCTCACCTCCACCGGCATCGAGGTCCAGTGGGATCCACCTCCAACGTCTTCACAAAACGGAATTCTCCAAGGATACAAAATCCTCTACTATCACGGTATGTGCCTCCGAGCACCCTCCGGGGTGCCTCCGAGCGCCCCATCGGAATGAGCCGTGGCTCCCTTTTTGATGTTTAGATGAAGATAGGGCGAAGGAGATGACGTCTTCGAGGACCACGGTGATCCTCAAGGACCTCCTCAAGTTCACCAATTATTCCATTCAGGTCCTGGCGTTTACGTCAGCCGGGGACGGCGTCTCTTCTCCGCCCGTCTCGTGTGTCACTCATCAAGACCGTAAGGGCAACAAAAAAATCATGGAACAAATAAATTCATTTGATTTATTTATTAAATAAAATTAATTGAATCTGTAAAGCAACTGAGGCTTCATAAAATTCAATAAATAACGAAAGCACAAATATTTAAGTAATAACTTGATTTTTTATATAAAAAATAAGTAAAATTGAATAATTGAATTGTGGAATTCAATTCTTCAGTCCCAGGCCCCGTCGGAGGGATCAAGTGCCTGCGAAGCAAGAAGACCGCGGTGATGGTGAGCTGGATCCCCCCGCAGTTCCCCAACGGCCCCATCCGGTCCTACGAGGTCCAGATCCGACGGGTCCCCTCGGGTGAGGAGGAATTCCGCAAGTCCGCCTCCCCGCACCTCACCGCCTTCGAAGTGCAGGGGATGAAGGCGGGGGAATACGACGTCTGGGTCTGGGCGGCGAACGCGGTGGGGGGAGGGGAGAGGAGTCCGCCCGTGAGGGTCGTCGTCGATGGGACCGGTGAGTCGACTGGGAACCATCCGATTCTTAGACGGCGACTTGTAGATGGCAACTTCTTAGATGGCAACTTCTTAGATGGCAACTTCTTAGATGGCAACTTCTTAGATGGCAACTTCTTAGATGGCAACTTCTTAGATGGCAACTTCTTAGATGGCAACTTTTTACAGAAGCGTTCCAATTGAAGTTTATAAGGTTCAGTAGTATTTTTAACTTTGCAAATTTCAACGTTGCAAATTTCAGCAGGATTTTAAACTTCGCTTTCTTCTATATCTGAATTCGGTTCCCAGTTGCAGTGTGTCAACTTTCTACAAGGGATGTGAAAATTTGCACGGAGATGAGAAAAAGATGATTCGTTGCAGTGCCGGCGGGGATCTACTCGTTCGGCGGGGTGGAGCGAGTGTGGAGGGGAGCGGACCACACGCTCTGGTGCCATTCGGTGGGGGACCCGGCTCCGAGGACCGGCTGGGTCAGGGGGGACGGGGAGGGGGTGGACCACCTGGTGGAGAGGGATGGGTCGCTCAGGATCAGGGGGGTGGGGAGGGGGGATGGGGGTGGGTACACGTGCACCGTGTACAATCCGCTGGGGCGGGACTCCATTTCGTATCGGCTGCACGTGCTGGGTCAGTTTGTGTCGTGTTTCACGGTTTTTTATGGATTTCCTTCCAAATTTCGGTTTCGTTTAAGCTGATAAATGTAGAATGTGCAAATTTGTGAATATTTATCATTGAGACGAAGTTCTAAATTGCAACTAAATTTTAATTTACAAAATTTAACATCGATTCTAAATTCAGAGTCCCGAATTTGAACATCCCCTGCAGTGCCGCCGAGTCCCCCGCAGCTGCGGATCCTGGACCGAACGCAATCGACGATCGAAGCGGAATGGGAGTCGACAGACGACGGCGGCAGCCCCATCACCCACTACGTGGTGGAGCACAAGGCAGACGGCGAATGGGTGGAGCGGAAGACGAGCCAGCGACAGACCTCCCTCCGAGTGGAGGACCTCCCGTGCGGCACCGCCCTCCTCTTCCGCGTCAGGGCCGGGAATCGCATCGGGGAGTCGGAGCCGAGTCGGCCCGTGTCGACCCGGACGCTCGGCGACCGCCCCGTCTGGCCCCGCCCGGACGACCCCCCCCTCGTCGCCAACCACACCTCCGTGCAAGTCTTCCTCGACCGGGTCCGGGAGCGGGAATGCCCTCTGGAGTATGTTTCCCTCGAGTACATGAGGGAAAACGAGGACGCCTGGATCATCGGTGAGAATATTCCGCGATATTTTGTGCTTGAAAATTATTTTAAAATTGAAACTTCGTTAATTAATTAAGTTTAAATATTAATTTAAAACATCTTTACA